CAAATCCATGCACAAACTGCAAGTGTGATTGTTGGTAGGTTATTTTCTGGCAATTCAATTATATTTGCAACTGTTGTTTTGGTCAGCCGCAATTCTTAGCATTAGTCTCGTGCTAGCAATTGCCTTGATCAGCGCTGCTTCAATTGGTAGTCATTCTGCTGTCGATTCCGTCATTCGTTTCGTCTCCTGAAGGGATTATCAGCTCAACGATTCTCTCAACAAAAACATTTAGCAAGACTTTAGTAGTTTCGAAATGTACTTGGTATGCGTTGACCTCCTCTGGTGCACTGTCACTTGCTTTTGAGCAGCAGTGTGGTACCTTGTCAGACAAACTTAATAAAAATTTGCTAAATTTGCAGAAATCGCCGATGTAAATAATAATAAGCCGGAGTTCCGGGAATGCGATACATACAGCAGCATCGCGAAAATCGAAGAGGGTGATTATAAAGTAAACGCGCCTGTAATTCTGAAGGTCATTTATTTCTTTGTTTTTATATCAGTGCTATTTCAAGTTTAGCAAAAATTTTGCGCAAAACTTGATTGTCAAAAATTTTGCGCGAAATTGACTGAGTGTGCATATATAACCGCCAATTACCACTCACGCACATGTGTATAGCAAACAGACAAACAAATAAACACACGTGTATTCACATACGCAAACATAGAAAAATGCATACTTGCATAAATACAGACAAACAATTACAATAAATACATAATTTCTTAAATACATGCATATATACATACATAAATATATACATACATACATACATACATACATAAATACATACATACGTACATACATACATACATACATACATACATACATACACACATACATGTAAACATTAATACATACATACATACTTCCATAGATACATACATTTATACATACATAAATACATACATACATACACAAATAGCTACATGCAAACATATATGGAAATACACAATTGCGTACAAACAGACTCACACACATACATAAATAAATATATAAATGCCTAAAAACACACATGCATACCGTAATTTCTTATGGCGAAGAGTTGTCAAGTTTCCGAAATTTTAACTCTGAGAGCGCCGCACACAACAATAAAATGCTAATAAAAAAGGATGCTTGAAATCCTAGAATTCACACAAAGGACGCAACAAAGGCAAAATGCACAAAGCAAATTTTTTGGCTGCATAAGTGGACCCAAAATCCCGAAA